TGGGGGTGGCCAGAGGAGCAATATTGCTCCAAAAGAAAGGAAGGAAAAATCAGAGCGAGGTAAGATAGAAATGACCTTCTGATCCCTCTGGAAGTAGGTCACATACTCATGTGACTCGGGTATGACTTGATCAAAATATCTCAAGGTAGTTACTATCGAATTACAAATCATTGTCAGATTACCAGGATCACCCCTTACCCTATAACTCAGCTGGGCATGGCCCTGCTATCGGAGTTCTGTGTGATAACAAATGGTGATCTGCACTTGGCAACCATAATGAAGAGATGGTAGGTGAAGCTCAGAAGCTCGGTAAGATGATGGTCCATAATATTGATTACCGTGTCCGCTGCCTCTGTCTGAACTCAGACCTGCATTAGTAGTCCTGCTGCAATAATTTTCTATCTGGCGACCTATAATTTCTCCCTTCTTCAAACTCTCCCCATCAAGTGCCAGCAGAATCTATACAGGTCTGATAAAGTCACTTTCCTGCTAAACAACCTTTAGATCTCAAAACTGACTAGAGACTTAATAGACAACCTCTTGCTAGGGCATTCAAGGCTTTTCAGCATCGATCTCAACCTTCTCATTGTCTTTAAACCTCATTTTTTTTTTTTTAGGAATTTGTTTATTTGAGAGAGAGAGAAAGAGCATGAGAGAGGGCATGAGGTGGGCAGGGGGATGCAGATGGAGAGGGAGGGGCAGAGGTAGATTCCCCACTGAGCAAGAGCCTGATGCAGGGCTCAATCCCAGGATCTTGGGATCATGACCTGAGCTGAAGGCAGATGCTTAACTGACAGCCACCCAGGTGCCCCTCTTCTCATTGTCTTTAGAAGTTCCTAAAGCTAACTGTTGGCCAGTAAACTGGGGATCTATCATGCGCTTCCGTTAGGGACAACTTAGGGTTTCGTGCTATGTTACCTATTTCACCTCCATCACAGGATTCCATTAGACAGTCTTAAGAGGCAAGCTATAGCAAGTTCTATTTTACAGATTGGAAAACTGAGACCCAGAGAGAGTAAATAATTTGCTCAGCACCTAAAAAGCAAATTCTCCTAAGTGTTTAGTCTGCTCATCCCTCTTTCTCTCTTTTTTCATCTTCTTCTGTTACACATTGCTCTGGCTCATTTACATATCTCCACCGTGTGCTTCACGCTCTAAAGTTTTTCTGGAAAGCAGGCTTTGCAACATAGGAAGGCTTAACATGGAGTTTGCAAAAATGGAGAACCTCGGGCTAAGTCTGCTTAGATGTGTTTTGTGAGATGCCCTTAAAAATCAGGTTTCACATAAGTTCCTGAATTTCTGGCTTGTCACGAAAGATCTGAAGTTCTGACAACATCGTGTCCATATTCCCACATAAGCGATGTCGGCTGGAGCTGAGAAGAAGCCGACCCCTTTAGCCAGGAGTTGAGCTGGAGTTTTCCCCAGCCACTACCACTTCATAATGCCTTAAGCCTGCTCTTCTTTACTATTTCATATTCCACGCCTGGCCCTAGTAACATTTAGGTTTGCAACCCTTGGTCTAAAGAAAGAGAACAAAAAATCCACCTATTTTCTAAAGATAAGATGAAACATTTTAATTGAAAAAAATTGAATGTGATTATTATGTTTGAAGAAAGTCTTTGTTGTTTGGTATGAAGATTTGAGTTTCCCAAGGAGAGTGTTGATATTATTTTGGTTTTATTTCTTATTTTTGACAACAGAGCAATTTGACCCAGAATGCTTAGTGACAGTCCTTTTGGATGAAAATCTTTACAGGGCCTTTTAATTAGGAATTGACAGGGTGATTAACTTATAATTCACAAAAATAAATGTGGAAAAGAGAAGTACAGGTCAATTTCTAGCTGTGTTAAACTGTAAGGACAGCAGCATTGGCAAGTGATTGTTCCTTTTTAACAGCTTTTCTAATTTTTCTTAATTGGATCCTTTGTTTTCTAATTGGATAGAGAGAACCATCATATGGCTTTCAATTACTAGCTGTGGCATGGTGATCCTGTCATGTGGCACACACTAAGTAAAGTCACACCCCCAACATATAGGACAAAATAAATACCGCCTCCACAAAGTTTTTTTGTATTAGTGTGAAAGAGGAGCAATCTTTCACAGCCTGGGTAGGTAAATCCATGCTGAAGTGAGATGTACCAACTAGCTTCCTTTTCCAGGGACACTATTTTGGACTTGTGTTCCCATTCTACAGACTAAGTTACCAGTTATAATTTCTTAAAATATTTAGTCATCACAATATGGAAATGCTCCTAAAGATATGAGATTATCATTGCATGATGGAAAATGTTAAAAAGCACACACAGGCACCCATACAAATATACATATAAACACAGACAGGAGAAAATACCAGTTACCCTTACAGATTATTATTATTATTTTTTTTATAGAAACAAAGGTTTTCTATGGCTTTCTTTGGTTAATCTTATTCACTGGTCAAAATTAGATTAAAAAGGTTACCGTTCCAGTGAAACTTTACTTGACTCACCCCAGGCACAATTTGTTATTTGGTTCTCTGTCAACCACTGAACTTTGTTAATATTTCTGTACTAGCTTCTGCTTGTTCACTCATTCAAAATGCTTTTTGAGCATCTCTGTGTATAGGTGCTGAACCCTGGGGCAGCATGGTTATTAAGGTGACTGAAGTGCTTGATCCTAAATTAATCTTTAGATGATTTTCTCTCTTATTGGACTATGGACCTTACAGAAAGTGGGAATTTGCCTTATTTTATATTTGTATTGCTACTGCCTAGACTTGTACCTGACTCCAATGAGATGATCAAGAAGTGCTCATTTTTTAAATGTCTTCTTGGTGAAGAATATTTATCAGTTTTATAAAATCTAACCCCTTAGTGGGTCAACCTAATATACGTACATTCTTGGCTTTAAAACTTGGAATAGTTGATATGACCATCATTACTGTCTTTGGAATGTTCGGGAATCTAATGACCCTTTGCTGTCACCCTTTTTATGCCATCGGATCCTCTGACGGGTGCTTTGACTCAGTACTGCGGAATGGTCTTGTCCCTGAGAGGAAACACAGTCTCTGATTCAATGCCCTTAGCAACCAGGAACAGGTCACAGCTGGGGTTTGAATCAGGCTAAATCCCATCAGATGGAAAATCAAGAAGCTGGTGCTTTTGAAGATTATAAATCTGGAAAGCGGCAGAGACGTGGGGCTATGAGTCCCTGCTCGAAGCAGGTAGTGCCACTTCTCTTTGGCTATTAGTGCTGTTTTTTTCTGGCTGATACTCCCAGGATAACTTTAAAAATGGACACATGAAGGGGTACGATTTAAACGTGGGGACCACTAAACCCACTCTCCCCCCTTCAGAAAGGGAAGTAATTAAGATCTTGGAGAAGATGTAAATCAAAATATGGAATGTCAAGGAAATAAAGAGGACTTGAAATAGAATGCCAGAAATTCTTGTTTCAGATCTCCGTGTTTTTCTGAAAGGCGTAAGCACAACTTTACATATAAGAGCTGAAGGCTGGCAAGCCTATTAGCCCACTGGTAACAGTGGGCTAGTTCTGCCCACTGGTTCATGCTTCTGCCTCATGTGACTTGCCTTGGCTTTGTGGTGTGTGTATACATCCCACTTGATGAAACTACTCTTCAGCATTTATTGCGTTTGCTTCTCTGTTCTTGGCCATGAGCCGACTTACTGGCACCATTGCCAAGATGAAGACATTCAAGAGGGGCAAGGTAACTTCTTTCAGCATACATGGAGCTGCCTTCACATCCGGCTATCTCTTGAGCATACTCTCTCCCTGTATCGTACCCCATCTACGTAGAGAGCCTATGCCTTTGAGCTCAGAGTGTTTGCTTTTGAATCCATGCTTCACACATTTTATTTACATGCTTTATTTTTCACTTTATGAGCAAATCGATAACTAGACTTACTCTTCATTGCACTGGATTAATTTTATTTAGTCCTTTTGAATTTGATTAAAAAACTGTCAGACAGAAGTCTTCATTTTTATCAGCAGAATACTTTCACAAAACCGGGTATGAGATATGTTCAGCTAGAACATACTTTTCAAAAATAAAACAATGTTTGAAAAATTCTAGACAGTTACCCCTTTGTTTATCCATGACAACTGAAACTAACCATGGATAAAGCAATCCAAGTCTAGTCAAGTAATCCTTAGGGCATATGAAAAAAAAAGGCTTTTTAGAAAGTTCTTTCTAGATGGATTTAATGTAATTCACCAATAAAGCATCCTCAGAAGCATAATAAAAATTCTACTTAAAATGACATAGCCAGGGCAGAGGAAGATCTACAGTTTGATGAAGATTCAAAATGGATGCTAACATTAAAAATGAGCGGTCATGCAATTCCTGTATAATATAAAGATCAAAATTCCAGGACACTAATTTTGCTTCTAATTTATAAGACAGTATGTTTCTGGGACTGCAAATAGTGTATATGTATATGTGCCTGTGTATTTTACGTGTGTGTGTGTGTGTGTGTGTGTGTGTGTAATCTTCAATGGTAAATGTTTTGAACTCTCTTTTCTCTTCAGAAAAATTGCCACTCAACATGTTGCATTTGTGAATTTCACCAACTAGCATTGAGGATAACTGGGCTGTATTTTATATTTGCACACGCAAAAATGCTCCTGAAAGATGAAATAACATCTATTTTAGTGGAGAACCTGATCTTTTTTGTGCTATATAAAAATGATTAATTTCTGACTTCTTCCCTCTTTTGGTTCTATTCATGTACAAGTAAGAGCATGGGAACATGTGCGAGGCAGCCAGGGTAGTGATAAGGCTCACCTGTGTGCCCGCATACCCATATTGACAACACTCACACTGACACAATTCCACACCCAACGCCTAGGAGCAGTTTTGAAACTGTCTTTTGGATATGTGTGGTGCTCTGCACACTATTTTCTAGTGTGGAGCACGTGTAATGAATGCCTAGAAATGCTCGAAGGAATAGCAATGAAGGGGTTAATGTAGAACACATATAGGCAAATATTGTCAACTATTTTATTCAAATGTTTGGAACTTAAACACAAAATTATCATTAAGTTTTCACAAAATGAGGCATCTGTCGCTTGAAAGGAAAAAAATATTTCAGAAATATGTTTACAGAAATGTAAAAATATTAGGCATCGAGACAGATGTGAACATATTCAGTCACTTGTCTTGCCTGTCAGTCTTCCTCTGAGCCGAAGATCTTATTGTACTCACTCAGCATGAGCTCAGCTATCTGGTTTTGGTATACCATATGTACCGCCATGTTCCCCATTTCATCTTGAGCTCGCAGAAGGGTAGGTCCAAATACAATCCCTAGGCTTTGAGTGGACATGAGGTTCTTGGAGGCTTTGGCCACAATCCTGGAGAGGGATGGGAAAGAGAGAAGATTCTATGAGTTTGAAGCAAAATTGTGGCTACTTTGGATGTATAAAATTCTGTGTTCTTGAATTCGTTTTTCTTTCTTTCAATTTAAAGAAAGACAGTAAGGGCAGTGATTGGCTTTGGCAAAACAGAGAATGCAACACAGGCAAGACATTTTTCTACTTCTAGAAAAATTGCAACTACCATGACATTTTAAAATCTTCTACTCTTCATGCTTTATTGTATGAAAATAGAACTGATGACTCTGGGGAGAGGGATTCATTGTCTTGTCCAGCTTTTTATCCCTGTAGTACCCGGATGTTGTGCATGCTCAAAAGATGTGGGATGAATGAATAAATAAACAGCAAAAATTACTGTAGAGACTTAACAAGATTTGGCCTTCGAAATGTTTATAGTCAGTGGAGGAATCAGGTGAGACATGCCTCAAATCTGTAAGAATCCAAGCACAATAAATAGAATAATACATGTATAGTTAATGATAATTGACAAAGATTTTTAGAAAATAAGTTTTTAGTGATTGGAGTGAGAAAAGTGTTCCTGACAAATGCTAACTGCAAGATGTTTTGTAGAGAAGGTAGGTTCTGAGACACTTAGGTGTATGCCAAATTCTAAGTGTCTCCACTCATTTTGGACATCCCGTTGAGCTCACACCTCAGTAAAATACAGAATCCTGTAGAATTTGCACAGGAAAAGAGTCCCATTAGAATCAAAGACAAGTTTGCTTGTGTGAGGACTGTAGGGGGGAGCTGGAATACCAATGAAACATTAGGATGTGGTTTTATTAATGGTTAACGCTTTGCCTGTTTCAATACAGTACTCTTAAAAGAAAAAAAAAACATTCTAAATACTGAGACTTTTAAACAGTGATGCTTATTCTTACCTTTGAAGCCTACTTAATTTTATAGCAACATTAGGAAGGTGAGGTTTGAGTGATGTTGAGGAAATAGGGTTAGCATATGGAAGGACAGGGTGCTGAGAACACTAAACTCGCAGATCACCAGACATCCCGACGCAAGGGAACCATGAGTGTGGAGAATAAAGTGAGGCAAAGGAACTTCACTGCAAGGCAGAGGGGTCTCCATCTCAGAGCCTATGGTGGAACATTGGAATGCTGGACTCGAGAGGACCCTATGTTTGATCCGCTATCAGAGGAGGCAGGAAGACTTGCTTTATTTCCATCTTTTTACAAACCCAGGTCTTTGAAGTACCATTTCTGTTACCAAGAAGCCACACCTTCTGTCTCCTGAATCAAACTAAGGACCAAAGCCATGGATTTAGGACTCTCCACTGCACAAGTTCACAGCCAGCAAATGCCCTTGACCTAATCAACATTAAAAAAAAAAAAAGTATTGTTTTAAGCAATGGTATTATCTGACTTAATCCGCATAGTCATTCCACAAGGTGGCTTCTGTTATTAAGCCTGTTTTACAAGTGAGAAGACTGAGGCTGAGAGAGAAGTGAAGTGTTTGCTGTCACACGGAGCTGAGGTGCAAACCCAGGCAGTCTGGTTTCGGTGCCTTTGGAAGCATCATTGCCATGGTGTGGGCTAGGACTCCTATCCTTCGTTACTGGCTGGTTTTTCATTCTGCCAACTTCCATGAGATCATAAGATCCTTCCATAGAAGGTCTGAATTTGTATTCCTTACTGTAGAATTGTGATTGACAGCCTGATTCGAATAGATTTATTGTGTGCAAAGGGACTCAAATTTTGACTGAATATTCAAGATTTCTGCCTCCTGTTTTTCACTTTTTATCTGCTTTATTTTACAGGCAGAGCTTTGTACCTGTGAGCACTGATGTCTTAGCTACATTCTAGAAGGGGTCCTCATATTTTAGGGCATCAATGAGTTATCAGAGACTTCAGGTTTAATGTTTCCTTTGAAATATAAGAAACTCTGTCACTTTGCTACTGCATTTACCAACTCTGCAGAATGATTTAAACATTCTCTTAACCCGGAGTTGGGGCCAATGGAGTGAGTGAGACTTTGCTTCTCTTTAATACACCTGTTGACCTCAGCTTAAGATCTCTCTTGAGCCTTTCCCAGAGCCTCTTATTATAGAAGTCATTAGTAAGATTCACTATGAAGGAAAAACAGAGTTTTCTTTTTTGGTTTTAAAGTAAGACCTTTTTGTGTACTCCTTCATTGACTCCATCACAATTAAAAAAAAAAAAAGCTTGCTAAGGCAAATAGAGAAAGAAAACATAACTAATCAATAGAGTACCTATTAGGTAAAAGTTGCCTTAACAACTTCATCTAGAGCTAGCAAAGATCTAAGTTGACAAGATTTTTCTAGCAGAGAACAGGGTGCAGAGGTAATAGGGCACGGAGAAGGTAGAAATAGAAGCAAGAATGTAATGAAAGAGTGAAGATATAAGGCCTCTTGGCCAACAGGGTAGAGGAAGATTAGGACCGGTTCCAGGGAGACTGCAAAGGGAGTGGATGATGTGAAGATTAATTGAGGATTGAAGATGGATTTTCTTATTCAATAACAGCTATAATTTCAGTTAGTAGCAGGACAGTGAAATCCCAGGAGACAGAACTGCATCAAACTCAAAAAGGGGGGGGGCTAGAAATCCAGGGACACCCAAGAGCTGACTATTGGAGAGAGCACTCGGGGCCGTCAGGAGGACACAAGGGTAGAGGTGGAAGAGATCTGTAGCATCTGGAGGAACTTGGGCAAGGGGAGGGGGCGCTCAGTTTTCCAGGGCATCCCAGTAAGCAACGGCATATAGGATGTGGGCCATGAGGGGGGATGAATGAAGGCCAAAATGGGGCTAGACTAGTTTTCAGTTTTCCCCAAGCTCTTCATGTTCTTCCTTCTCAGCCAAAGGCCTGGTCTTTGAATCCAGAGTAGGACCAAATCTAGAGGAGGACATTGAGACGTAGTTTAAATAGGATGGAGAGTAGGAGGCTAGAACTGCAAGTCAGACTCCACCTCGGGGAAAGATTTCTCTATCTCAGCCAGTGGGTTATGCAAGAGGACTCTTGTAATGGATTTCTGCCAATGCATTGGTTTCCTAAATTTCCTGTGGACAAATGTTCATTTTGTGCTCTTATGCATGTGTGAATGTGGAGCATTCATTCCATCGCAAACTTGTATCCTTTCTGTCCATTTCTCTGCACACTTTCTACTTGACTTTAATAAAACCGGCTTTAACTTATGAGTGCTTTAAAATAATCTTGTTATCAGTAGATTTTATTAAACAACAGAGTTTTTTGTATTCTTGTTATATTTACATTACTGCAGGTTAAATTTCCCTAACAGCTTGGAATTTTTTCCTAATTTTGGAAAATCAAGTTACGTGCAGGAACTTTTAGAAAAATCAAATGTAGTTAAGAAAGTAAGTTAATAAGACAATGTGGAAGTGCATTAAATAGAATCCATGCTTTCTGATTCACTGTTAGAGAATGTGTGCTTGTGTGTGTGTGTGTGTGTGTGTGTATGTTTATATATACTTCAATTATTTTTCTGAATATCATCCAACCAGTTGAGTGTTGAAAAATCAAACAACTTTTCAGTTAGAAAAGGTGCTGAGAATGAAGACTGATTTGGGGTAGCAATCACGATCTACCAAATTATGATTCGTGTCTATAGGCAAATACACTGTCACATCAATGTTTAAATCAGATTAGATTCCCTTCTAATAGTGGGAAGCAAAGAAGTCCCTCAAACAGAGGATGTCTTGGAAAATGTATTAAGGCCATTGCAAACTTCCTTACTAAAATGTGAACTTACCTATTGTCTACCTCAACAAACTGTTAAATACTCAAGTGGTTGGTTTAGGACCCCAAAGAGAGTCAACCATAATTTCAAAGTACTGCCAGCATACTATCCTGAAAATTTATTTGAATCTCAGGGTTTTTTTGTGTGTGTTTGGTTTGTTTTGTTTTTACTTCAAATCATTGGATATCAAAATTCCCACTCCCGCTGTGGGGACCAGCTGGGTATTACAAGTGCCATTATTTCTAAAGACTTGAACTAGTAAACATATGTAGAGAGAAACATAGGCTAGTAAAGGAAAGAAAAGCCATGCATGGAAAAAAAATCCAATCTAGTACCAAAGATGGAAAACTCTCAAAAACAATAAGTTATTCTTCTAGTAGCTTAAAATGCAGTTGAATTGTATTTTTGGAAGGGAGGATCTGACTCAGAAACCATGAAGTTTTTTACTACGGGTCTGATGATATCTTTCACTAAAGTGGATTCTGCAAACCCCCTTTCTGTGATAAGAGTTACAAAAATAGACATTTCAGAGTAAAATCATTTTTGGAGAAAATTGCATGCCATTTTTTCCCTTGGATATTCACAAAACACAATAACATAATAAAGGCTCTGAAAAGTCCTGAAGAAAAAGATCCCTGCTCATCTTTGCTTGACTCACGTCTTCTCTAGCTGACTCAGATGTCATAGATCTCTTTCCTGAGGAGTTATGTTTTAGGAAATGCTGCTCTTAGCTTGCTTTCCTAAAGGCCTACTATGTAAGTTTGAAAACGTTATGGATTTTGCCCTCCTATGCCACCTGGCTTTGGAACTCTGTGGCAGCTGACTCAAAGAGGTCAAATTGTGGTCATTTCTGGAAAGTTCCACCCCTCTGGTAGGGCTTAGATTTCATTAGGCCTTAAACTCCGTGACAGTGTTGTAAATTTTGAGCGATGATTTAACCTGTTTTCGGCAAATAAATGAAAGAAACTCCCCTTCTATGGCAAAACAAAGACCAAAAGGTAAAAGAACACATCTGAACGAGAAAGGTGAGAGCAAAGACATGGTTGAAAGATTAATGTACAGTGAATTGATGGATGGGTTAGGAGGTGCAAAAACATTCAGATCTTATAACAATATTTGGGAATTCCTCTACATGGCTGTTTACTCACCATTAATTTATTCCCAGAAATTCTTACAGCAAAGATTCTAAGCAACATGAAGAGCTCGAAGTTTAGTGACTGTTAATGCTTGACTAATAGGAAAAAAGATCCCA